AGGCAGCGACTCCCAGACTTCTCTCTCCACAGACACCTCGTTCAACTGTTCAAGGGGAGACCTGAGGAGTTCCAGGGCCAGCTTGTCCTGGGGAATCCCCTTGGCCTCGTCCCAGTGGGACGAGCCAAGAAGACCTTCTGAGGGTGGTGTCCATGAGGCATCCAACACAGATGTCCGAGCCACCTCAGATGACTTGTCTCCATGTGGAGAAGTGGCTCTAAGCCGAGCCAGATGATCGAGCTCTTCATCCTATCTCTAAGGTAGTGACCCACCACATTGCAGAGAAAGCTGATTTCATTGGCATGTTTTGGCAATCTGTTTTTTTTCATTCATGATACAGATTTTATGACCATAGGTGAGGGTAGGAGCATAAAACAACCGGCAGATTAAGAGCTTTGTCTTTTTGCTCAAGTCTCTCCACATTATGGGGGCAGCCACACCGATCTGTCTTCTACCTTAAACCCCCACCTTAATCTGGTGAAAGGGTTTTTATCATGATCCAAATAAACAAAGATGTTCAAATGTTCATAAAGACTACAAAAACAAGGCCAGTGACGTCCAGGCCTGGGGTTGGCAAGTGACTGATGGTTGAGTTCATCCTCACAGGATCTGGGTAGACCAAACCTAAATGAGAGTTGCAAACCAAGCCCAGTGGGCCCACCACCTGCAGGGGGACCATCAGGGACCAGTGACAAGACGACTGTGAAGTAGATGGAGGCATAGGCAGAGTCAACCTGATAAAAAGACACCTAATCTGGGTCTATGGGGTGCTATTTCAATGCTGCTACTGATTTCCTAACATTTCAAGTGAAGCTGTTGAGGTCATTGAATTGCATATTGCTATTCTCTCTGTTCCATTTGCATGTTTCCTAAGCCATAACAAGGCTTTGTTTTGGTCCACTCTATAAAGCTTGGATCTCAACACTAATCCAGATTAATCTTAATTGAAAAATCTTCCTGGATGGGAAGCAAAACATCTTCAGACTTTGAAAACAGAGTCTAGTGGTTTGTTTTTTAACTTTTGGGGATTTCCTGTTGATTCAAATGGTACATGCTAGTAGACACCTCCTCACCATTGCCTTGATTCAACTATAAATAAAAATAACAGACGCATTTATTTCACAAAAATGATTTGCAATTGTCCTCTTTATTTCACTAGTTTTTGATTTTTAGCCCTGTTCTGCATAAATGTATTTTTTTGTTTTGATTTTGATTTTATTGTTGTTATACACCGAGACAAAGTAAAAAAAAAAAGGAAGAGAACTAAAATATTTTATTCCTTAGTTTGGAAAATGACAGAATGTGGAAACGATCTATGAGTGAAATAGGGAAAGCATTCGGCATAAATGTATACTCGAAATAATTCAGTTCTTAAAATTATGTTAATTACTCTATGTTTTTGTGACCAACCTTTGACATAATATGTTTTCACAGAACAGAGATCACATTTTTAATCACAGAAAACAAAGACGGTGGACATTAAATCCTTTTATCCAGACTTCTACCTTCAAAGACTCTCTGTGTCCTAACAGATAAGGGGATCTGGCCTCATATAAAACAGGTTCTGTTTGCCCAGTTCCTGTTTTCTTACACAACTGTCAGGGTTGCAAAGCACCTATTGTGCAGTAACCACAGGCTGCCACCAGGTGTCGCCAAGTACTCACAAAAGGCCTTAATAATAGTCCTATTTGTTTGGAACATAGTTGATTATTGTAAAGCCTTGATAAGATAAGAGTAACTATATTTACATAATACTCCTACCTGAGTTCATAATGATGGATTTAAATTGTTTTCAATCTTTATTACACCTTTCCACTTTTAATTTCCGGTGTTTACAGCCCGAGCAGCTGCAGACTCTGGATGGACCCTGGCTTCTGGCAGTGGGCCTGTTTAAAACCATTCCTGTCACGTTGTTGCTGAGCTTTGGTCAAAAGAAGGTGACACTGATCCTGGCCCGAGCTGCTTACAGCTGGCTTATTTCCCACATATCCAAGAAGCACTTAGATTGTCCAGATCCATAAGTAGTGATTATAACACCTTAGAATAGATGGCGTGTGCTCAAATCCTAAGATTATGCCTGTGAGATCCTGTCTGAAGAAGAGTAATCACTGTTGGGAATCAAGAAGTTTAAGGTGCCCTGGATTGATCAAGGAAGAAGACAGAGTGATGGACAGGAACCTGTCATAAAGGTTGGGTTGTTGAGAAATAAACACCAATGAATGATTTTATGACTACATCTATAGTAACCAGATGTTTCCCTTTGGGCATTTTGTCTTACCATGAGTCCCTCTCAGTCAAAAGAATTGATGATTGTCCAAAAGTGGAACTTAAGATAACTGATTATAAAATAAGAACTATTTTACCTAATCTTTTAATTTGAGCATTTAATTTTCCGGCATTTCATGCTTTCCATCTCAAATTAAAAAAAACCATAAATATAAAATCATAAAATAAAATCATATCATAAACCTGTATTTATAAAACTGGAGCTTCTCTGAGTAGATCCTTATAATCACATTTAAAGTGAATGAATTGGGAACAAAATACAGAATGATTTAGTTTTGCTTTGTTTTCATCCAGACACCTGAGCTGCTTTGATGAGCTTTGATCGCTCAGGTGTGGAAAAACAGCTGATACCAGACTGTTTTGATGTGTGTCCAAGCTGAAGGTGAACTCAAACATCGACTATTGGTTGATAAAGTCTTGTTAAATATTCCAATTGGGTCCTGAGAAATTAAAACAGATCCCAGCCCTAATTGTTTTCACTACCTAATAGATGCAACATTTTCATGTACCCCTTGCAATGCACTCACAGACCACTATGGGTACGAGCGCCCATAGTGGTTGGGATAAACTGATCTAGAAAACCCCAAGAGTTATGCTAGGGTACTTACTTTATCTCAGCCTTTGATTCTCTCCAACCCCATGAGCTCTTACTTAATAAAAAAAATTGAGAAGAGTTAATCTGGGCTGCATGGTGATGCAGTTTGTAGCACTGTTGCCTTGCAGCAAGAAGGTTGGCTGGGTTTGACAGAGGCGTGGGTTTCCTCCAGCTTCTTCTAACAGTCCAAAAACATGACTGTTGTGTTAACTGGCACCTGTAAATAGTCCTTAGGTTTGAGTATATGTTTGCATGGTTGTACGTCTTTGTTGCCCTGTGACAGACTGTTGACCTGTCCAGGGTGTATCCCACCTCTCGAACATATAGTGGCGGATATACGTAGGTACAGGCCCCACCGCTACCCCAGAGGAATAAACAGGAGAAGATTGATGGGGAGTTAACTCATCCATCATCAGATGGGTCCACTCATTCCTTGCTCTTAATATATCAGGTTGGACAAGACTGAGACTGATTCTCTCATGATCAGTAATGCTGTCCCTCAGGGGTGTTTCAGTTCACTTGTCTTGTTCACTGTATAAAATGACTGCATCTCTAATACTCTCAGGAACTATGTTTTCAAGGTTCTTACTGTAGTGAAAGGAACTACCTGTACCAACTACGGTACTAGTTTTTTCCATGAGGCAGACACCCTGTATACTTTAGCGGCAAGGCTTAAAACTTTCCTTTTGGATAAAGCTTAATAGAGTGGATCAGGTTATCCTGAGATATCTCTATAGTTATGCTGCTATAGGCTTAGTCTGCCGGAGGACATAGAGAGCTGCCTCATCATTCTGCCTCAGTCTACCTCCCTAACTTTATGCTATCTCTGCTTTTTGTCGTCACAGTAGCTTCCTGTTCTGTTCTTGTTTGGCTTTGACACCATCTGAGAGAGAAATATTAGGTGGACTGCTTTTTTTCCCTATATTTCCTTTTATCAAACACGTTTTTTTTCCTTTTTTTAATTTTCAAAATATGTTCGTTTGCAGCAAAAGGGGGGAAAAAATACTCATTTTAGATCTAAATTACAGACCAAAATCTCCCACACCAACTTCCCAAGTGACTATCATGTCAGGAAGTTCCTGTTCTGAGTCGACAGCCAATCCCAGACTGACCATCTGGACCACCTGACAGGGATGATTCGTTCCTCAAGGGGAACGTATCTCCACTGTCCCATGGGGACATGCTTCACACACTCCATCAGATGCTTTGCGTTCACCTTCACCTCTATGAACTAATCAAAAGCCCACATGACATTTGGGAGCTTTGCAGCAACCGTACTATTATCCAGTTCAGCATTACAGGAATATTATTGATGGTTATTTATTATTCACTTCACAGGTAGCCAAATCAGGATGGTTTATCTAGGTAAGCTGAGTCAATGAGTGATTTGAACAGTTTTTTTTAATTGCTGGATAGATGAGTGAATCCTTTTTTAGAGGATAATATGCTTCTTTAAAAGGCTACATGGGGATAAATAATTTTGTAAGACTTAGTTTAGTAAAGTGAGGTTATAAAGCAAAAAAAAAAAGAAGAAACAAGCCGTTATTTTGACTTCTGAAGTTTTTATTTTGACCTTTCAACCGTTCTGTCCAAAGCCAAACAACACAGCTAGAAAATCCTCGTCTTTAGAGCACCGAATACAGTAAAATAAATTAAACCGACACTAGCAGTCTGTGAAACCAGGTGAATGTAATCTGTCAGTCCAGGTTGTACCCTTTTAGTTTCTGAAAAACAGAAGCTCTGTCCCATCGATTGCCAGCTGATTTCACACTCTGAGCATAGTTGGTGGTTTTTTAAAGGCCGCAATAAGATATTAAACACTCACAATTCATCGCTGTGAAGAGGCAGATATCAAAGCGTGTGACCCTTAGCACGATCCGATTCCTCGACGTACGTCACGTCTGATGCCAGGCAGGAGTTTAAACGGGAGCTCAGAGGAAGGAGGCCCTTCAGTCGCACCGAAACAACAAAAAAGGAGGTATTGTCTGAGTTCAGCATGCGAAAATTTAAGTTGAAGGCTTCTCTCAGAAGCTCTACTCGACACCAAGAACCTTCACAGATGTCGCAACATTTCTTAAATGTACCGTTGGCTGATGATTGCAGTTTCTCTCTATTTTTAGATTTACATTATAAATGAACCGTTGCCATGGAGAACAGAATGAATGACAGGTCAGGCCACCTATCATGGCGAGTAATATTTAAATGAGATTAGCATTAATTAGGACAGATCCACAAATAATAAGTGCTGAAGTGTTACGTTTGGCCACTTGTACAACTCCCAGAACCGTTCTTTTCCGTCTCACTCCCCGCCGTGCAAGTAACAAAATAAATACACCTTCTGTACAAATGACTAAACATAAAACCTGATACCAAACACACGTATGGAGCTGAAAAATAACCTAAATGAGTACATTAAATATTCTGGCTTTTCTTTTGCCTTCGTTGAGGTTTTCACGATGTGGATGACTTGAGGTACGCAATGAGGTCCTGGCGCTCTCCCTTCTTCTTGATGCCAGCAAAGATCATTTTGGTTCCAGGAATGTACTTCTTGGGGTTCTCCAGGTACTCCATGAGGGTGTCCTCGCCCCAGATGATACCTGAGAGGAGGAACGTACAAATAAATTCACCTTTGCTGGCTGTCATTTGTTGTTTTTTGTGTGATTTAAATGGTGTTGTAGCTGACCTTTGCTCTTGTTAGCATCTGTGTAGGAGTAGCCGTCAGCCTGTCCGGTCTTGCGCCCGAACAGACCCCACAGGTTGGGGCCCACCTTGTGTTTGCCCCCCTGCTCCACGGTGTGGCATTGAGCACACTTCTGCACAAAAACCTTCTTTCCCTTGTCGACGTCACCCATGGCGAGCTCTGGAAACAGAACAAAAGGAAAACAGTTAGCCGTCTATGAGTAAAAACAAACAGCAACGTCTATAATAATGACGCAGATCTGGAGGCTCTTGTCCTTTATTTCATAACACCCCCATCAGTGAAGGTCACTCCAGGTGAAACCTTCTTCCTGCTTTCCTAGCTGATCCCAAACAGATATACTGCAGGATGCTGCAACACTAAAGACCTACCCAGGTTTAGCTCCTTTCCAGATGAAAAACAAAAAGGGTTGCCAGGTTTGAAAGGTAATTAAGGTCAGACCTAACAGCATAAAGCCAGGAGGGGACAGCTTTGGTGTTTAAGTTCTTAAGAGGAGAAGCCAACACTAATGAACTTAGCTAAAGGTGCTTTAATAATAGGTGCTTCTTTGGCTTCAGGTGTTTTGACTGGTAAGTAAAGCAGATTAGTTAACACGATATCACCCCCGATACTCAAATAAGGTTCATTTCAGGCAAAACCTCTTATATTCTTTCTTTAAGAGGTTTAACATTGAACTCCAACCCAAAAGGCTATAAAGTGACCCCTGATGATTCAGTAGCAGTGTCACATTTAAATTACATTTAATTACACAATCATACACCTGTTCATTACTATTAGTCATAGACCTTGGCTTTTAGGTTTATACTTTTTAAAAACATGAAATCTAATATAAACGTGTCTAATCCAGGAGGTGAAGAGTAAAGATGATATACACCGAGCAGATCCGGCCTGCCTGTAGACTGGGGAGGGGGGGGGTAATGTCGGTTATAAAGGCAGTCAAGGATGCTTCAATGTCGCTGAGCCTCAGCTCAATGAATTTTATTTAATAAGTTCTACGTTGGATCCAGGAGGCCGGCTGACTTCCCCTAAATGATTTAAGGTTGATGAGTAAGAACTGATGGTCAAAATGAGACAGGAGGGGCAGGTTAAGACAAGTTTGTACTTCTGCCCGCTTCTTTAAGCGTTTACGTGGTGTGTATTAGTGAATAATGCTGTTATAACATGTTTTCAAGTTCAATAGCATTTAGAAAAGGACCAAAGATTAATTTAGCCGCCAAAATTTTAGCATTTTTCGTTATAAACGACTTGCGTTACTTAACCGTTACATAGTACGCAAATAGAGCAAGTGAGCTATTCATCATGGAAGCTAAGCGTAGCGGCACGATATGTCCTTAAATTTCCCCCGCTGCCTTCTAAACGTTATTCTTTTAAAAAGCTCTTCACTAGTGTGAGTATTTAAGATGCAATGGTTCAATAAAAGGAATTTAAATTACCTTTCGGCTAAAACGTGTCGCTGGAAAACCTCTAGGACAGAGAACAGATGCAACTCCTTCCGCTGAGCAGCCTTTAGTGGCGAACGACGAAGGTCACTCTGCTTTAGAGGCACCGGCTTTTTACGTCATTGCGTAACACGTCAATTGCTCAGAATTTACGCCACGTTCGTGCTTCGTTCAAAGACAACTAGGAATATTGATGTTTCACGATCATACCTTCCCTGATTTTCGAAATATTAGTTTCACCCGGTGAAAAACTACAATAAAAAAACCTATGTGTGTTTATTAGGAAATATGCCTCTTTTTTTGATAACTCGTCAGAAGAAATTAATATTTTTCATTTAAAAACGGATGTAAGAATTGTTGAGAACACATGGGTAAATCTCAGCCTGACTGACAGTTAAGGCGTCTGGAATGTGTCCTCCAAATGACTAAATAACACATTATTTAATTTAAATCAGTTATTGGCATCTGAAGAATAGGTCCAAGTAAAAAAATCAGAAATAAGAATACATTTGATTTTAAAATTGTGTTTGATGTTTTGAGGTTCATTGTTAAAGCTGGCAGATCCAGGCAACCTTAAACTAAATGTAAGTTTAAACACAATATATTACCATTTTACAATAATATAACAACATACCTTGATATTGAGACTGAAAACCGACTTTGGTACTGGATTTTAAACTGAAACGGGTTCAAATATTGTGTTCAGGTTTAGTTTCAATATCCAGAAGTTTGCTTGAGTCCAAATTTCAAGTAAGAAAGGTTTAATCAACATTTTGTGTCCATACATCATTAGTTTGCCCCTTTTTCTTCCATTCCATTAACCTAATCATCAGTAAGTGTCCCTGGAATAAAACCCTCTTAATTTGATAAAATTGTGGAGATAAACCATTGAAAAAATATTCAAATCTCATGCAGATTTATTTATAAATCTTAATGTAAATTTAATAGAATACATTGTCTGAATAAATAACAAAATCAAACTAATACAATTAGCTTGCAAAAAGTGCAAAAATATTATACTTAATGAAATATAGATTTGTTATATGTATAATTTAGTGGTTATGTCTGAAAATATATGTGAAAAAGTGCAACTTATAAACCCTTTTACCTACCGTCCATAACACCAACAAAATCCCTGAAGTCCAAACTGCTCAAAAAAGTCCTTTAAGTATGCAAACAAATACGTTTATCTAGAAATAACCCTCTAATCGGGATCCTTTGACCCTCTGAAAAAAGGTTTAATAAAGATAAGCATAATTTTTTTCATCAATTTAGAGCTAATATAACTTGTTGTTCTTTGTTAAACAAATGTTCACATGCTGGAATGACTCTGGTTCATTTTCCTCCTTTGTTTCCAATTCCTTTCCTGAAACAATTTTTTTTTATCGACAAAAAAGTTTTTTTTTTTATGCTAACCATTTTGTCCTGATGTAGAGAACATGTTTATTGATGTTTTAAACATTTTTAAACAAAGCTGTTCTTCCTGAATAAACAGAAGTTATAAGATATGAACATGTGTGGATGTAATCCCAGACAGCAGCCTGGTAGCATGTTACCAATGTTACCAACATGCTGTTAAGGCAGGATCATTTCATTTGACTGACTGATATTAAATGAAGACGGACAGTAAACTGTATTCCACTTGGGCAGATCTACAGTCAGTTTGGCCGTCTGTAAACATATTATTACTAAATCCCTGCCTTACTTAACTGATCGGAGCTTAGGTTTAAATACCATCTAATCTGTCCAAGCAGTAAATACTCTCCTGTTCTACAAAATAAAATAAAAAAGATCCAAGAGCATGATGACACCATTAGGGGCTGGTTATTTTAAATACAAATAAAATGCATTTTGTTTTTTTTTATCGGTATCTATCTCATTACTGCTTAAAAGTGCAAATTAAAACCTTTCAACAAAAAGACCCATTAAAAACTGTTAGAAAAAAGGGAAAATGAAGGAATTATTTTCTATTTCTAAAATATCTATTTTAAAAATCAAAATATTCTTCACACCTTTAAAAGCAACATATGTTATTAAAGTGTTTAATAACAGTAAATAGCTTGGACATGTCTCAGCCCATCTTTTTATTTGAATGTTTGTTTTTACTATCTCAGAAAGTTCTTGGTTTTAAATGTTTACATGGTTTTCTATTTATGATATAGCCGTACATTCTGTATTTACATTCATTCATTTTCAATAATGATGCTTTTATTAGTTATCCCCTGATACTTTTAGATGTCAGTGCAACAATGGGGGAAAGAATAATCGAATAACTAACTGTTAGTTTTATTTCCAACATTTTTTTTTATTTGTTAAAAAACTATATAAACATATCAATTATTATAGATATTTTGGTCTGTTTGATTTAATCCTGTTTTCTGTCTCAGAATTTAGAAATATTCTATATTATTTAAAACATGTTTGTTGTTTGATGGATTTCAGAAAATAGAAATAAGAATAGCTGTAAATGTATGTTTTACAGCCTTACTCTGAAATAATCTATGCATGCTTTATTTTTTCTTATTATAACTTAAACATATCCACATCTGCCTTGTTATGCCAGGAATCACCTTTTCTAAAATGCTTTGTGATCCAATCAGTCCGACTATGTGACAATTACCTTAAATGATTTTTATTTAAGGTTTAAAGACAGTTAGACGATAAAGTAAAAGAGACACAAAAACAACAGCAATGAATGTCAGCGCATTTGGAAACTTTTGCTCTGCCTGTGAAATGCTAATCCTCTTTAGTTAAGCCACTTTTAAAAAACCAGGGCTGGAAGTAAAAATAAGAAAAGAGCTGTTGAACCCTAATGTTTAAAAACAGAGAACTCGGTGCGAGCAGTGAAGAACAGTTTATTAGAAATAAAACCTGACTCAGGCTTAAAGTAAAACCATTGACTATGACAGTCACAGGGTGCTCTGCAATATTCTAAATGCACCTTCAGCAAACTATTCAGCTAAATTGAAGAATTCCCAACTCTTCAGTTTTCTTGAACTAGCAGACAAGTATGGCATCTTATGGGTTCATCTAAACAGTTTCTGTCTCTGATCTTCTGTTTCATCTGGCATGGCTCCAAAGTTTGGAGCAAAGTGAAGAGTTTATCTGTCCTCTGGCTTCAGGCTTCCAAAGCTCTAAAACAGGATCTTAACTCAAACCCTTCCTCTGCGATGGACTTTTAGGATCAAGCAGTCGCTGGCTGTTCGTTGCTCAGTCCTCACCGATCTGGATGCCAGAAAGCACATATGTTCAGACGCTCCAGTTCAACATTTACCTTAATCCTCATCTGTACCTCAATTCTGGTCATTAGGGGATTAAAAACAACTTCTAGGTTTGATATGAACATCCAACAAACTAGTTTGAAAAAGCTTAGTTTAGGCCACTGGATATAAAGTTTTCTATCTCAGTGTTTAGTTTTCAGGTGAAGAAGAACTGGGCACCTGGTATCCCTCAACCTTCTTGGTTTTCCTTCCCATGATGCCCTGGGTCGTTGGCTCTGGGTATGGTTTATTTTGTTTTATACCAGTGGCACAGTGTGAGTACTTCTTGTTTGTATACAATGTTTATGTCATGATCTTTTGATATTTGATGTT